TTATTATTATTATTATTAATCACGATTACATTACTTTAACTATGATCACAACTAAGACTTAAACATGTTGCCTCAATTCGTGATTAAATAATTGGAAAGTAAATACTATTACCTTTAAAAACCTGAGTAAAAGATTCTGGTGTGCTTAACATATCTCTCAGTAATGTAGTTTTATTTTCATAATTCTTTTTAAGTCTCCGGATCTGTTTTTCTTTGTTCTTTAAAATTCGTCGCAGTGATTTTTCTTTGATTGTTGCACTAAACTGGCTCTTCTTAAATACTGACTCTGTTGTTGGATTTGTAGCGGAGGAAGGTATGGCAGCGTCTTTTGTTATATTTAACTCCTATAAATAAATAAAGTGTTATTTTATACACAAATCCGGCGGTTTTGTTGATAATTTTATAGTGTTCATGATTGTATTTACTTATATGTATATATTTTTTTTTGGTTTGTTGCACTTTTGTTGCATCATCAATAAACATATATTATTATTATTATTATTAAATACATTACAAAGTAAAAAAACCTTGTTGAGTAAAAAGTGATAATGTTAAAAAGTTCAAAAATAACAATAGTCAGCACAGAAATTAATTAATATTTGTTTCTGACAGCTCTCAACATAATATGGTATCCTATCAATGTTATTGATAAAGTGAAAATAAAAGTAAAACTTACTATGACAGAATCCGTTAAATTATTTTGCTCCAGTTCAGGCTGTCTTAGCGGTTCACTCGTTACAATGTGTGCTTCCTGAATAAAGAAAATGTAATTAGAACTGTAAATTTCATTCTAAAAGTAAATAGAAGCAATTAGAAGTAAGAAATTGGAATTTACATTCATGATCACTCTTAAAGGCTTTGCATCTCTTTTTAAGGTCAAGGGGGTCCTATTCAACATAAAGCTTTCCATTGTAAAGTGATTGTTGCAAATTCTCATACGTCTAGAGTACGTGTTTTCTGCTGGTACACCAAGACACTCATTCCATAATCACTGTCTAAAGTATCAAAGTAAATTTTCATTTAGTACAAAAAATCTATCTAACTTAAATTTATAAATTTACTTATTGATATTTAATGGAAAAGAAAATAATTTAACCACTTCCTCTACCGAACGTCCGCAAATGTAGCAATTCCTATCCATTACAACTAAATTCTACTATAAAACTGGACTAGGCCTTAAAAACTAACTAATTCTAAGATAACGAACTATGGTAATAAACTAATGAAAACTAAGGTATACAAACAAATAAACTACTAAACAAATCTATGTAATAATCAAACGATATACAG